TATATACTACTCTTTTCTACACAGTGAATTATTTTAAAAATAAAATATCCATTTTAAAATTTGCGAAGTAACTAGTTCCCCAATAAGAAGTATCCGTAAAGTACAAATGCTCTGTAATTTGAGAGAGGTTTTCTTGCATACATGGGTGTGGGAAGGGGGAAATTTAACTACTTGTGTTAAACCCTACAATTGTGAGATGTTTTCACCACCAAACAGGCAAGAAGTATTTTATATTAAAATGAAAGTGTTGTATTATCAATTAAAAGTTTAGGGTCATTTCAGAGCTTCATTTCCTACATATGCATACAAAATTGCAAAATTTGAAAAGTCAGAAGGCAGTCATTTAAAACCTATTTGTATATTTTGGGCTATCTCAATAGGAGCTTTCTAAGTTTTCTGTTTTTATGAAATGCAATGAAACTATTGGTTGTGGAACGTACTGGGTCCATTGTGCTTGGTTACATAGCTTGTCTGATAAGCCAATTATGTTGTTAAAATTATATAGCTCTGCTTATGTTGTGCAATTTAAAATGTCAACATTGAGGAAATCATGTAGGAATGTATTGATATGGCAGTAGTGAAGTGGGATCTGTGTATACTGTACCCACATTCTGACCAGAGCAAAATCACACGGACTTCCAGAAATAAGCAATGGTTTTTAAGAGGAGCTTTATTTAATGTTGCAGCAAGTAAATGTTATTTGTACCATATACTTGTACATGTAAATTGGGTGCTAATAAATACTATTTTTCAACATTTTGCATCATGTCCATAACTTTGCCATAAGACTTCCATAGGCCTATAGTGTGTGAGGACACACCAGAACAACCCTACAGATTAGCACATCCCATTGTGTTGCCATGCTAGTATCATCTGATTTTTTTTTTTAATTTGACCTTAGCAAGAGCAATTATTCTATTCCTGGGCCTAGTATTCTTTCCCTTTTCATTCTTTGCACTTGGTCTGCATTCCATGTGCTGCTGTTTCTGACGCTTTAGTCTGGACACTGTATAGCAGTGTTTCTTAAACTTTTTAAGACCAAGGAACACCAAACAATATTTTTATGGGAAATACCAAGGTGTTTTTGTTGAGCCAAAAAAAAGGGGGGGGGGGAGTGGAGTGGGGGGAGTTATTGAGCAAAAAAAAAAAAAAAAAATCACCTCCCCCTGTAAGGGCGGCCATTTTGAACTGTGTTGTTCTCCGTGGCACACCTCTGACTGCCTCATAGCACACCAGTGTGCCACAGAACACAGTTTAAGAAACACTGCCTTACAGCTTATGCCATACTTAATGCACTCAGCAGCTGCACTGGCAGTGAGATGTGCATTATTCCAAGAGAGTAATGCCCTTGTGCAGCAAACACACGGAAGGAACCCAGTGCGCTTCAATCTTGCCTTCTCTAACAGACAACAGCATGGATATCAAATTGAACAGAGAAACTTGTTAGCAAACCTATCCTGCTTCCTCTGAGTTCAGAGTCTGGAGGAGAAGAGCCCTAAGCTCCTTTCAGTGGGTGAGAGAATAGTCCCTCTTCCCAATCCCATCGACTGTAAAAAAACAGGAATTGCCAGAACAGGACAATGGTGTGTTTAGCCAGTATCTGGTTTCCAGCTATGGCCAGTATCAGATGTTTCAGTGGAAAGTATAAAATATTCTTATGAACAATTTAGCAGTAACTCGCCCACATGGGGAACTTTCTGTCCAAGCCAACTACAGGTAGGGCATTGTGAACTGAAGCATGAGGGTCTAATTATCCCTTCCTAGTTGGTGTAGCCCATGGAAACTTATTGGTTTGGCCATGATAACCATTGTTATGGTTGGTAGTATGTATGTTTTGACTAATGAACATGTATAGTGTGGACATTTTGAAAGTAGGGAAACTAACCAAAATTCTATCGTGATTACTGCTGGTTAAAAATTAACCTAGGCAATGTTTAGTAGAGCCCCAGAAAGAAGGGGAAACCTCTGTAGAAGATTCTACCCACCTACCTTGCCTTTTAGTATGACTAAGAGCTAGATGTGAACAATGTGGCTGCGACAGTCCTAAATCTAACGTCCCCCCAAGGATCAGTCCTGTCTTGTTCTGTTCAACAGGTAGATACTGCTGCATGAGGTGAATGAGACTTTGTGGGCTATCTATAATGCCACCAGCCTAGACAATTTTGCACTGCTGCTGCCTCGCAGCCTGGTATATTTCAGAACCTGAATGAAAAATAGCTGGCTCAAGTTCTGTCCAGAAATGAGAGAGCTGGTGCCAATAGGCAGAGGAACATTGTGTAAGGAACTAGCAGTTCATGTGATCTTGCCAGAGAGAGAGAGAGTCCATTTTATAATTCAAGGTGATGCACAGCCTGGAAACTCCCCCATCCCCTTGCTCTACTCAAAGAGCCCAAATGAGGAATTCTTTCTTTCTATTTAGGCTGGTCAGCTAAGCTGCAGAGAGCCTATATACCACTAATGTACTGAGTACATGTGAGAGTTATGCTCTATAGTGGCAAGCTCACAAAAAGATTTAGAGTTGCTGCTATCAGCAAAGGGAGTTGTTTTTTTCAGCTCAAATGACAGTGCCTATGTTTTTGGTGCTGACACACTCAGGGCCAGATTTGAAAGGTATTTAGGTGACTTCATGGGCGTTAGGTACCTATATATTTTTCAGACATCTAGCCCTGAGGCTCTTATCCCACTGCTACATGGGTGTGTAGTTTAGCTAGTAACATGTAGCTTTAATCAGCAAACAGTTTCATTGCAGCAGTGGTGTCAACTGTTCCATAGTCAGTAAATTGGAAATCATGGGTGTTTCCATGTCAGCCAGGTCTGCAAGGTCCATAACTTTCCTACAGATCCTCAGTCACCGTGAGAGAGAGATTTCACCCCTTGTCCCCTATGGCTTGACATCAGCTTCCTCTCGGTTGCGGGGGAGAAGGAATGTATCAATTTCTGCTACTTTACACTTCTTGCATGAGACTTTCCCTGCCACACATCTTTGCAAGATTGAGGTAATTCTGTTAAACATAACAGCACAAACTTTTAACAGCTTGGTTACTGCTTACCTGCATGCTATTGCTAAATTTAGGAAAACCCAGTTGTATTTTAAAAACTTAAGTGCAATATCAATATTTGGATGTACAGTTTTTTAAAATATTGTCTTAAATATGCAAGCCATACTGCATGCATCTTTTATGGATTATTTTTATTGCAAAAAGTTTAGCCATTTGTATTATGAAAAGCTCTTAAAATAGCTCAGAGGTGTTACAAAAGGAGCTCTGCTTCCTTCACAAACATACATACAAGAAAACAACTTTTTACGGAGAGGGTGTACACATAACTTACTATCCCATGTTTTAAAAAAATGCTCTTTGCAGGGACTTTTTGGCAGATGACCTGTACTTTTGTTGTTGTCCAAGGCAAATTTTCTATATTTATTCCATGCACTGGATTCCCATTGATATTAGTGGTAATTCCACAATGGTAGCACAAGCCTTTAAAACGTGTAACTTACAATATTTATGAAACATACTTAAAATGAGACACACACCAACAAAAAAATCACTTTTTGGGATCTGACATTTTAAGGATCCCTTCAAAGACTTGAAAATTCTCAATTTCAAAGCAATGAAAGTTTCATTGCATTCAGTCACCCTACAAAACAGTTCAATATGTATTTAGTTTTGATTTTTAAGTGGTTTACCTTACTTCCTTTTGAAATGTAATCTTGCACACTTAATAAGGCGGGTGGTCACTGAATTTTGTTACACATAAGTGAAGAGTATTTGAAAACCACTATGGTAAAAGCTTATCAAGATTAAAATGTTCAAAGAAAAGAAAATATATGTCTTCATGCATGCAAATTGCCCTTATTGCTCCTAACATAAGTTGTCTGTGCCGTTGTATGAATGCAAATGACCTACTGGGTATGATCATAGTCTCTAACCCTGGGCTTGCTAGAGTACATTCAGTATTGAACTAAACATGCAATGACTCTTTGCTGCATTTAAAAAGTAAACTGCAGTATTAAGAATAGTTAGATTAAAATGTAGGTCCTTAGTCACTTAGATTCGTAACTAGCTTGTAACAAGAAAATGTAGTTTTTAAAACAGTAAATTGAGCAACTGAGCTACACTCCCCAGTTTGTGCTATTTTTCCCTTAGCTCTTGTGACTCATTGTTCAACAACAGCGGCATTACCAGTGATAAAAGCAAGTCTGAAGAAGAAAGAATTCTTCTGCTCTGATGTAAGACAATTGTGCCCTTTGCTGATTTTTATTTACTTTTAAAGCCAGGAGCAACATCTTGAGCGAAAAGGTGCTGAGCCCTTACTACATTGTACAAAGGAGCTACTTAGGGCCCTTATCTATGTTCAGGGCCCCATCCATCAAGGCAGCCTTAGATAGAATTAAAGCCAGAATAAAGCACATGCCTCCTAAGGACATGTCTATACTTACTGGAATTCTATTTAGCAGGTCTAAGAGAGACCCATAAATCGAATGCTGAAGGCAGCTCCTGCTGGCGCCTGTACTCCTTGAAAGGAGGTAAGGGAGGCAGCATGGATGCCGCCAAGGCTCAGCAAAAGGTAAGCTGACTCCAACTGTGCATTTTACAGAGCTGGAGTTGCAGACCTTAAGTTGACCTTCCTGGTCTAGTGTAGACCAGGCCTAAAAGAGAAAGGGAGGTGAATTATACCAATATAATACCATTGCTGCTTCAGACAAACCCTGTGTTACATGCTGCAAAGTATGTTTATTTTATGTATCCGAGCAGTGGTGCTGCTCTGATTGATTTTGCCCACTGAGGGAATAGTGCCTTGGAAGTATGTTGCTGATGGAAAAGTGCAATGAATTCATAATCCCCTCCTTCAAGTAATGCTGTCTCAGATTAGCTGTGTTGTGGAGTAATGCATGCCTATAGGTATTCACTGCAGAGTGGCACAGAACTCTGCACGTCTGGTCTGAGGAAATGATTTCTTTTGGCTAATTAGCAATACAACCCCTCCAACTCCAATCATTTTTTTGAGTAGTAGTTTTTTTAATGACATGGTTGCATTTAGATCCCCATGTTTATTACAAGTGTAGTAACTGGAAGATTTATGCCACACAAACTGGTGTAATACCATCGTTACATTCTTACCCTGGCCTTTTTAGCTCTCTCCAAAAACCGGTGTGGACTACAGACTCCAGCAGCTGGTGAAGTTCATCAATAGTTTTGTTTCTCTCAAGTACCATTTAACATTTCTGCCCTTTCCCTCCATGGACCATGGCAGTCATAGATTAGCAAGTTTTAGCAGGTGATAAAATGCCTGCTGCTCACACTGCCTAAAGTTTAAGTCTTTCAAAACATCAGTTATATCTCACTGCTGGGATCAATTGCTGATGACTAACTAGTTCCTCATTTAAGAAGGCAGCATGGTAATATAAATTGGCTTGGGCAAGTACAGTGCAGTGCATATTCTGTGAACCAACAGACACAAAGCCACCCCATAATTCACTATCTACAGCATGTCTAACATTGGGAAGTCCTGTTTTCTGCCAAAGCAGAACACCCACTAATGCAGCAAGACTGCCTTTCTCATCATTCCTTAACAACCCTCGAGCAGTCTTCTCTCTTCATGCTAGTGATCGCTGTACACACTTTGGTGTGAAATCTAAAAGTGGAATGTCTGGATGATAGCGCAGTGGTTCTCAAACTTTTTTCGTATTGTGTCCCACTTAAGACTGAGGCCTTTCCAGTGGTATCGGCTTCTTGGACCCAGACCCTCCTTTCACTGTTATGTTTGGACCCTGACAATAGAACAACATTCAGAGGACAACATTGAAAATAAACTTCCTGTACTAAATGAGTGGGGATTCTGGATTCAATGTTTCCAATTTTGTATGTGCATTGGCTGCGTCCTTTCCATGGACGCAGAATTTCATTAGGATCGGTAAATGCCTGCAGACCACACTGCTCTAATCTATCCCGGTCATTTTGCAGTTCACCTCTTTCTCTTGTTCATAACTTTCTCCTTGAAATGACACCAAATGAAAACCCTGACAGACACACATCAAACAGCTGTCCCAGCTTTAAAAAAAAATTCTGGATTTTGTTGGAAAGCATCTCTGGAAATCCTGAGAGTCCTGATCTGAACAACTAGCAGGAAGCATGGCTGCTAGAAGCCAGAGATGCTTCATCACTCTGATATAGCTTGGCTTCACCTGGGAGTGTTCTGCAGACCACCAGTGGTCTGCAGATGACAGTTTGAGAAGCACTGTGATAGGAATATCTTTCAAGAGAGCATCTGCAATTCACAAAGGCCAAATGAAATTGTCTGGTATCTACACTGAAAAACTTTTTCAAACTGCTCTTCTGGAAACACATTTTCAATCTACAAAGCTGAGTCACTTGGTTTATCTTTTCCATGGTTGTACATCTCTTTGTCTATCTAACCAGATTAGAGGTTTGAAGCCAGCAAAAAAGTTAAAATAGAAATGCCTTGGTCTGCGCAGAGCTTTATCATGCATAGGGAATAGAGCTGAAATCAGCTTTAACTGAAAAATGCCAGAGAATAACTCTTCTAGTATTTCTTGGATTCATAGCTGGCATTACTTGAATAGCATTTTGTGTATCTTCTGCATGACACCCAGTGATCCAGCTTTAGTATAATGCATGACCTGCTTTCATCAGTTCCGTGGTTGTGAATTGAATTCCGTACAAATGTTCTGGATGATCCTAGGAACAAATCGGTAGAGGTGATCAAATTCATCCACGAAGAAGGAATGCTCTTTATCTGGGTCCGTTGCAATGGCTTCCAGTTCATCTTGGGCTGCCCATGCAATTCCAACAGAATAAGCTATGACCCCTGAAAAGAAAGCCAGCATTTATAATGGACATATGTGTTTCCAAAGCGTCGTTGCATTTGCAATTAATTTTTATAAAAACGGCTCCCTCAATAAATGTTCAGGACATAGAATCATAGAACCATCATGTCCAGTCCCGTGTATGCAGGCCAGGACCAAGCACCATCCAGACCATCCCTGGCAGGTGTTTGTCTAACCTGCTCTTAAGACTCTCCAATGATAGAGATTCCACAACTTCCCTAGGCCAGTGGTCCCCAACACAGTGCCTACGGGGGCATTTGTGTGAGCCCGTCAAATGCTCGGGGCTGGCCTTCCCCGAGCACATAGCGCATGTGCGGTGCCAGCCCCAGGCGCATGGGGAGCGCCGGCCCCAGGTACACGGCGAATTGGCCACCCAGACATGTGGCGAATTGGCCGCCCCGCCCCCAGGCGCACGGCTATGTGGGCAGGCGCATGGCTCTGGGGGGCGCTGGCCCTGGGCGCGGGGCGAATTGGCCTTCTTGCCCCCCGGCGCGCAGCTATGGAGGGTGCCGGCTGTGGGCATGCGGCTCTGGAGGACGCTGGTCCCAGGCTTGCGGTGCTTGGGCGGCCCCGCCCATGGCCACGCAGCGCATGGGGTTGCTGGCCCCAGGCACATGGCTCATGGGGGTGTGGCGTATGCACGGCCCTGGCGCCTGGCAAGCAAACAGCCCCACCCCCTGGCACCTGGCAGCTCCAAATGGTTGGGGACCACTGCCCTAGGCAATTTATTCCAGCCAGGAGCTGCTTGAGGCCAGCTGCAGCAGCTGGCGCCCCAGGTGGAACATGCAATAGGCGCCCCTGCCTGCAGGGCCATCAATGGACTGACATCATCAGCAGGCACCACGGGCACCCCTGTGACATCATCGGGCGTCCTAGGCAGCGGCTGAGTCCGCCTATAGCCACGGGCCGCCTCTGATTCTAGTGCTTAAACTTCCTGACAGGAAGTTTTTCCTGATGTCCAACCTAAAACCTGCCTTTCTGCAATTGAAGATCATTGCTTCTTGTCCTACTGTCAGGAGTTTGAGAACAATTTTTGTCCCTTTTCCTTGTAACAACCTCTTAGATACTTGAAAGCTGTTATCTTTTTCCCTCTCAGTCTTCTCTTTCCTAGACTAAACAAACCTGGTTCCTTCAATCATAGATTGTTTTTAGATCTTGAGTAATTTTTGTTTGTCTTTAGACTTTCTCCAATTTTCCCACATCTTTCCTGAAATATGGTGCCCAGAACTGGACACAGTACTCTAGTTGAGACCTAATCAGTGCAGAGTAGAGCAGAAGAATTACGTCTGGTGTCTTGCTTATGGC